CGATGACATTTAAATCATAATTTCCATAATATGATACATTCATAAATATTGCAATGCATACACATTCCCTAAAGTTGTCACCAATGATCGATAGATCTTATCTTAGGAATCGACGACTGTCATTGGTGATACCAACAAAGTTCGTAACAGTTTTAGCCAAGAAGAAGACTATGGTAACACAGAACTCGAAAGTTATTTGATTAATATAGAAACAGAGTACATGACCATACCCCCGGTATTTCTTAGTTGTGGCAAAGACGAATAGAGGACGCATCAGCCTTATTTTAGACGTAGATTTCTTAATAACAGTCGAATGTTAGTGATTAACTTAATGTAGATTAGTCACTTAGAATTAAGCTTACAAAATCTACGTTGTTTACTTTTAAAATTTCATATTTTTCCGAATGAATTTCGGTGCGCTTTCGAACTGTCCGATGGTAGCCTCCAACGTTTACAATCTTTATTGAAATACCATCATACATCAGAGGCGTTTATCATCAGATGCCACTGTACACGGCAATTTCCTTACCAGAATATCATGTCGGCCGAATAAGGAAGCGGAAGTCAAGGTGAGCGGCTCATTGTGATTGCGCTCACGACGGGCGACGGCTCCGTCATGTCGGACCGCGTTGCCGACGGGTCTGTTTACGAACGGTTTTTATGGTACCCACGTAGGGTAGCCAACTTGCGACCAGGATATTCCTCAAAGCATACTTATGGGACTATCCTGATTAAACGAAAATTACTGGGTCGTTTTTTTTCTTTATGTTCGTTAAGGTTTAAGGTCACTCGTAAGTTTAGCGCAATATTAGAAAATTTTGACGTACGTAGGCTATCATCCAATAGCGATAAAGCAAAATCAGATCCAATTACAAAATTTGGTCCGAATCAATCTAGCCGTTAATGCTATACACAGGATGTATATTATGTAAATACAAGTATTGATTATGGAAAGATATAAAATAAGAGTCTCTAAAACGAATTAAAACTCATTACGGCAACGTCTAGAAAATTAAACAGTGTTAATCCGTCAAAACCGCTTCCTTTCTAGATCATATGACAAAAGAACAATATTGGTCGGAGTCATGTGGCCGTGGGATTTTACCAGATTTAGGACTTAGATCTCTGCGCAATTATGGGAAACATAAACAAATAAAAAATCTTTCAATGTAATATAGATCCTTTATTCATCGTTAAGATAAAACAATACTTATTTTAACATATGAAGAACTAAGCCATATCCTAAACCTTATTTTCGTTTTTACCCGAAAAGCTGGCAATTGAGTAGGCGGTTCCCCTTGACTTACAATTTCTTTGTAAGTCCTTTAAATGTGGTAGAGCCACGCAGCTGCCTCGGCTGATGCACGAACGGGCAAGCTCATCCGGGTAAGTACCACGACCTCACAAAAAACAGGCGTGAAGTGATAGTATAATACTTTCGCGTTTCGTCTGGTGAGTTAGGTAGCCGGAGCCCAATTTTCAAAAGGTTGTCAACGCATCTGCAACCCTCGGGTGTAGCAGATGACCATGGGCGCGGTATTCACTTAACATCAAGTGAACTGCCCGCTCGCTTGGCAACTTTTTGCAATAAAAAAACATTTTGATAGAATATTCCAACAGTGAAATCACTAAAGAAACAGACCGAAAACAAGAATGCTTGTTAAGATCTAAAAGTAAACATAGCGTCCATTCGTCCGATACAGATGAATTAAGAGCTTAGATGAAATTTATTAGAACGTTCTAAAAAGAGCCGACTTGAAAATAGTTACAACGGTAAACGAAACTATGTTTACGGATTTATCGCGTTTAGTTACAACGCACTTTCTTGCGAGGAAAAATTGATGTGGCAAGTTATAAATCCACCGCTGTCTTATATTGAGCACGTGAACGCGGATTACAATTAAACTAAGACGTTTATAATTAAATATTAGTTAAAACTGATTTAAGGATTTTATCACGTTTAATCATGACCCTGGGCTGTCTGTCCCGTGAACATAGATGCTAAAGTATTCGGAACTTAAATAAATGCATAAAACTGCAGGGAAATAATATTCTTCCACCGAATTCTAGTTTTATCTGTGGCGAAACGAGTTGTGTCGTTGCTCGCAAGTTTCTTTGTAAAGAGACAATGGCGCGACTATCTTGTGGTTTCCGGTATTTATACAAAGTAATACTAAATAAGTTAACGGGGTTCGAAATCTTAGATGGATCGGTGGCTGGACGGTGAAGACCCTTTATGACGTGCATCAATGAGTTTTCAGAGGAGACTCGATATTTCATACGTATTATAATCACTGGGCATCATCTGTATTCTATACACAATCATAACGGTCAAGTTCTGATAGGGTTGAGTTAAATAAGATCGGTCAATCACAAATGAAACTACCACTCTTAAACCCGTCAAATTTGTAACAACCCTTTTTACGTCGGCGGTTCAAAACACCAGTTAAAGTTAAGTGAACTGATGTCAACATAGTCCAAATTTATGGCACTACACAAAATTTTCCATCAGTGTGCATCGAGCATCGATGGCAACTCACTCTGAAGTTTAATATTCCCCAATATCATTTCAAATTATTCTCTCGTACACTCAAAAGACTCAATTTCGAGAGACATCCTTGCGTGCTAACTTCAAACGAGCCAATAACGGCGATCTCGACGCGTTTTCATGTTATTTTCACGATCCCACGACAGTGAGGAGGTGATATTTCTCGCTGTACTGGCAACTTGTCTATTTTTTTTTTTTAATATTATCCACGCTACAAATTATGTACTTGTAGTTAATTTTTGCATTTGTAAATATTTGATGACCGCTCTGACCACTCCGTGGCGCAGGTGCCAAGGCTTCGGCGTCGAGAGTCGTGGGTACTATTCCCACACGGGACAACTATTTGTATGACCCACATATAGTTTTGTTTCGCATCTGGGTGTTTGTCCGCGTGAAATTTATGCTTGTAAACACTTAGGATGTTATCCTAAAGAAAGGGAAATGTTTTTAAAAAATATGTTGTTATATTACAGCCGTGATAGCTCAGTGTCCGGGCGCTCGCCTTTAATTCAATGTACTCGAGCAACCTGGGTTCGATGCCCGGTGCCAGCACTAATAAAATTGTTCATTTTAGTGCTGACTTATCACGTGCTCATCGGTGAAGGAAGACATCGTGAGGATAGAGAACATATTTTAGAAGTAATAACAAAACTTGAATATTTCGAAAATATGTGAAGTCCGCCAATCTGCAGTGGGGTCGCGTGGTGGACTATGCTCTGGTACCTTCTTTACAGAGGAGGCTTTTGCCCAGCAGTTGGACATTTATAGGCTGTTAATATGTTGTTTTTTACATATATTTTTCTCGCATCTCCATTTTCTCTCATGACCTTTATTTATGTTGAAAAGGTACTGCAATATAGTAAAAGTACACAAAAGTAATAAACGATGTAGTTCTGGTCGCACACCTCTCTTACAGTTCAGAAGTAAGAGTAATTGAAAATACATCTTCATATTGAAGTATCGCAAAGAAGCAATATTCACTCTGATTGAAATATTGTAGGGCTTGCATGTGGAACAAACATCTTTCTACACTATTGTGCGACCCCCAGATAGTTGTATCGCATCTGGGTATTTGTCTACGTGCAATTTCTGTTTGTAAAAACACTCTTACAACACAGGATAATGTAATCCTAAAGTAAGGGCAACGTTTTTTTAAGTAAAAAAAACGATAGATAACAGACTGGCAGAAAATTACGGCCGATTTCAATATCATTCTATGTACGGATAGATTTTGTTACTGCAGGAATTTTGACGTAAGCAATATGGACCTAATATCAAAATCGCTGGTAACCAAATCTATCTGTAGATAGAATATTGAAACCGGCCGTTATTTATATAGGTTTGGCCAATGTTTTATTTATAAACGCAGCCGCGAGACCGACAGATGGTGGCGCGCCGCGTTGAATAAACATCAGCGAGGCAAGGCCCTATAGAAACACCTCAATATAATATGGGCCCTGCATCGAGGGTTTGCGGAAAGGGAAACCGCGAATTTTAATTTGAAATACTTTACGTGTACTTATATTGAAAACTAGCATGTCGTATAATAATTATAAATAGTTATAATCATACCTTTTGGAAAATGCAAAATTTCATTGTTATATTATATATACATTTCAATACCCTATTTAAATTAGAAAACTAAATTTTCTTAAAAAAAACGGAATATATTCAGTGTCATCCGTTGAAACGTCACAAACTTTCAGGCAAACAAACGAAAAAACATGTCTTTATGATCAGGCTATACGAGGCCTGGAACAGTATTTTCTCTTTTAACATGGTTTTTTTAGTCACGGGCAGACACATCAATTTTGTCATTGGTATAGATTAAAATAATAAATAAAGCTCATAATAAGGCTCGGTAAATATAAAACTCTTTTTTTTCAAATGTAAGTGCAAAACTAAACCTATTAAATTATACGTTTCCATCTCCTTAATGTCGTAGCTCGTAGTAATTCGCATTTGGCCCGGGCGCTCACTTTGCAATAATTACACATGGGGAACCTAAGTTTAAATCTCAGTGCCGACACAAATACAATAAATACCTACAATTTTAATTGCTGGCATAGTGTAAAGGAAAACATCGTAACGTCTTGTCTAGGTAAAGGAAAAAGCTGCAAGCAATCCAAATTTAATTTTTTTTATTCAATATAGAAGCATTTCACTTGATTGATTGTCAAATTACTACTACCTGTTCGGGAAAAGAAAGCGACTGACCTGAGAAGAACCGGCGAAAGAAACTCAGCGGTAATTTTTTTATCATTATTTGACAAAGAAATATGTTTACAACATATTCTAGTCTATTATATGTCTATTAGTCCAGAAATCGACACATCGAACACAACTAAAAAATACATAATATTCTTTAACATAGGACGCTTTTGCCCAGCAATGTGAATTATATGCGTAGCCTACACTTCTTCTACCGAATTACTTTGTAAGTCCTTTAAATATGATTTCTGCGCAGTCGGGCAAGTACGGCGAGGGTTTTGTGGGGTCGTCGCGCGGCGTGGCGGTCCACGTGAGGGCCGTGGGCCCGGAAGGGGAACGTGACCACACCGGGTGCAAGTGGCCGCTGCTCTCGGCGGCAGCGCCCATGGAGCCGCTGCCCTCAGAGCCCTGGGTGGCGGTCATCAGGCGAGGCAGTTGCAACTTCGAGATAAAGGTACGTTTTTTGCGTATTCATGTGATGCTAGCGACCCGCCCCGGCTTCGCACGGGTGCAACGTATTATACATATAAACCTTCCACTTGAATCACTCTATCTAGTAAAAAAAAAACCGCATCAAGATCCGTTGCGTAATTTTAAAGCTCTAAGCATACATATGGACAGACAAACAGCGGGACGACTTTGTTTTATACTATATAGAGAAGTTGTCAAGCGAGAAGGCGGCTCTCTGATGTTAAGTGATCGCCTCCCATAGACATCTACAATATCCGATTGCTTGCAGATGAGTTGACAACATTCAAAACAGTGGGTACCAGTTCCTTCTTTCACCATATCACGAAACGCGAAAGTTATAATACTTCCACCTCACGGCTGTCTTCTGCGAGGCCGCGGTACTTTCCCGCAGTTAGTTTGTTTCTTTCGATTTGAAATTTGGGCGGATCCCTGTCATTGAAAAACGATCAGGACGGACATATTTACGTAAAGTAATCGAAATACGAATACTAACTACATTAACACAGAGTATAAGTCGTGTCAATGTCAAACTTCATTTGAATCCATTCGCAATATTTGTTATAATTAAGATCACTTAAATAGTAAAGTAACAATTTATTAATTCACTTGATATTACTTTTATGATGAAAAAAAAAATGATCGTAATGCTCGATTAAATTAAATTTCATTTCACTTCCGAATACTTTAGTGTAATAATAATGTTCGTAATACAAAAACAAGGACAGATAAGGTATTTGCATTGTTGAGATAATATGCTGTTTGTCATTTTTTTATCAATTTAATATTTCGGTCGTAATATATCAATGGCCCAGAAAATTTTTTGAACATCTGAATGTAACAAATGACAAAAGACCTCGATCTTTCTGTAAACTTTCCAAAAGGTCACGGTAAGTAACTGGTAGGGCCACACAACAGTTGGCTGTTGCGTGGCCTTACCACCTCAGGGGAGACCGGCCGGCAGTAGATGTGTTCTACTTCTGCGTTTCGTCTGGTGAGTGAGGTAGCCGGGGCCCACTTTATTAAGAGGTGGCAACGCATCTGCAACCCTACGGGTGTTGCAAATGTCCATGGGCAGCGGCTATCACTCAACATCAGACGAACCGCTAGCTCGCTTATCACCTTCTCACATAAAAAAGTAGAACATCTAAGTAATAACTGACATGACTTTATCTCTTTAACGTTTTCAAACGAAGCTCATCCACATTTTTGTGTAATCTAGCCGACATAAATAATCGTCGGTTACCGAGTATATTTATGGCCCATGTATATCACTTTGTCATACATGCGTAATCCGTGTTCTATTAGAAATAGTATTAGATGACAGTAATAACCAGATATAGCGATAAGCTCTTATTATTGCCCCATAGCCATATGGTCTAGAAATATGTTGTCAACTGGAATGTCATTTTTCTTTTGGACAGGGTGGCAAATGAATTATTTTCCTGTTACTCGTGTTCCTCTGTTCAGTTTTAATATAATGATGAAAGCTTTTAGAAGTTTCCACTATTCTAAAACGATAAAGAGAACAATATAACGGTAAATTTTAATATTATTTTTATATAAAAAGTATGTGATCTCAAAAATTGAATTAAATTTATTTTCACTTCCGATTACGTATTTGTAATAATAAAATTCATAATATAAAAGCAAGGACAAATAAGGTATTTGCATATTTGAGATAATATGCTGCTTGTCTTTTTTATCAGTTTAATATTCCCACAAATTTACTACATGCTCGCTTTGAATAAATTGCCGTTGTTTTAGCAAATGCATATAAAAAACGCTACATCACAGTAATCACCCTTAAAGTTTATCAAAATATATTGATTAATGTAATTATATGATACTACACACTGATTCGTACATTTTCGCTTTGGGAAAGATATAAAAATATATAAAAAGATCTATATCGAAGTAGTGTAAAGTCGACACGGGGAAGAAACAACTACATCATAAACTGCGTTAAAGATATTAGTGCAATGAGTCGTACATTAAACGGGAATTTAACCGGGATCTTTGGACAAGCGCTATTGAATTACCCGGTCACCCTGAATGTGTTTGCAAAGATTGCGGGTAAGAAGACATAGATTCTAATTCCGTGTCTAGAAAAATAAGATAAACAGTGCTACAGTTTATCTTATTCTTGTTCGTTCTCCTTTCATGCATGTTATTATTTTTTCATTAGGTCAATGTAATTTAAACTTTATTGGGCCTAGTCGCTTGCCTGGCTGGCGCTTTATGAATGACGGAATGTTATTCAGGTCGCTTGTTAAATTTTGTCGTTTATACAAAAGGCCTCGTCTTCTAATTGAATGGCTAGAACTCATACTAATTGCAGTAGTTCACTAGGATTTGAAACCCACAACACCCATGGGCTTGTAATATCCATTTTTTATGATAAGTATAAGTAAGTAAGTAAAGGCGTATATTTTAATGAAAATGTGGACTATAAGCAAAAAATAGCTCAAAACTTTCTACATGTCAGTCAGCATTTTGGTCCTTGTCGCCGGATTCCATAAATAAATGTCAAACAATTCCTTTCATACTATAAAACTATGTAAAACAGAAAACTCCGTTTTAAATAACATCAATGACGACCCGATGGGTGTAGTGAATAGTGACACTGTCTCTTGCGCCGGGGGTTGGGTTTGAGCCCCACTTCTGTAAAAAATATTGTCTGATGAACATAGTGTTTTTCTACTGTCTGGCTGATTATATATCAATAATATGTATTTATATACAAAAAAGTATGATTTTTTAAGTGAGAAGGTGTCAAGCGAGTTGGCGGTATATAATATAACCGCCTCCCATGGACATGTGCAACACCCGTAGTGTTGCAGATGCGTTTTAATAATGTGGGCCACGGCTACTCAATCACCTAGACGAAACGCGGAAGTATAACGCCGATCTTGCGAGGTCCTGCCCATTCGTTCAGCAGCGAAGACTTGCGTGGCCCTAGCACAGTAAAAAGTTTAAGTATATTTATCAGTGGTAACTGATAAATATACTAGGTATAGTAACCATTGTACAAACTTCGCTTTGTTTGGGATTATTTAACATTGAGTAAATATGTCCTGTCGTGAAATATAATTGCATAATATAAAAATATTAATTGCAGGTGCAAAACGCTTGGCGCGCGAACGCCACCGCCGTGCTCATCTACAACGATCGCGACACCACCACGCTGGAGAAGATGAAGCTGTCCACCGACAATGGACGTAAGTACAGTCGGCCACACAAGGGTACAGGGAAATTTCAGAACCAGCTGTCGAGTACGCGACTAATTTTCAGACCACACTACCGTACGGTCGAATACGCTACTACGTGAATACAATCGGAAACACAATAGCTCACACAATGTTGTTGTAAACTAAACTGTAGTAGACTGTAGTACAAACGATTTTATGACACGTGAGCGTATACAGAACAGATATTATACATGTTATTAAATTCTATGTATAAAATATTGAACGGAAAATTTTTCGCCGGTGCGGAAATCGAATCCAAGTCTTCCGGATTCGCGCCCAGGCGCTGTAGCGTATTTTAATTTATAAACGTATTTTATCTACATTGTTTTTTTTTTTTTTGGCATTTCACCACAATTTAATTAACATGTTGCTACTAAAATATGGCTCAAACCTTTGCATAACAAAATATACCGAAGTGCATATGTTCTTGCTATTATGTACGCCTACAGTAAGATACCATGTGATTACTGTGGTAGGGCCATGCAACGGTCTTCGTTATTGCACGGATGGGCACGTCATGTTAAGCGAATACCTGATGTTAAGTGTATACTACCGCGTTATCGACGCGGTAATATTCACTTAACATCAGTTGAATCTCTAGTTCCCTTGACAACTGACATTAAAAAAAAACTGTACATTCATGTAAAATGTAGTAGGTACCTACCTACATACCAGCTGAACCATGTCGTCCGTGCGTTAATTACACTTCAGTACAATTTTTTTTTTATACTAAAATACGACTACAATTACTTGATAGTACCAATGCTATTACTACACAAATTCAACTATGTTATTTTTGATTTTGGCGGTTCACCCGACGTGATAACCGCCGCCCATGGATATTTGCAGCGCCCGTAGGTTTGCACATGCCTTGCCACCTTTTGTTAAAGTTGGCCCAATCAACTCACACCAGACGAAACGCAGAAGCATAACACTTCCACATCACGTCGGTCTTCTGCGAGGTCGTTGTACTTCCCCGGACGGACCCGTCCATTCGTGCACCAGCGAAATTGATATTGTTGTAGTTCAACACGTGCACATTTAACATCACAGCTGTACAAACGACATCGAATGACGCCCATATAATTCATGACTCTTCACAAACCGTGCGCTTCCTATTTGATGAACTACATTGCGGCGTAACTATGTTGATATACGTCAATATGCAATTGCCCAGTAGCACAGCTACAATGTAGAAGTAGTAATTAGAAAGCGACATTGTTGGGCTATCACGTGGATAATCAGTTACAGTATACCTCAAATTGCGTCACTGTAATTAAATTTAATAAATTGCAGATATTAACGTTCTCAATATGTGAGTAATGCGGTTCACATTAATTGAATTACTTTGTGACTAATTAAACCCACAGACTATTAAAATTCTCTCTTATGTTCTCTATTACGTAATGACACAACCACAACTAATCGGAAAACGCCCTGTGTGGTAATGATCTATTAGTTTGTAAATCGTTGGATGCTATCTTTTTTTTGTGTTAAAAATTATAATTTTGTGGTACCTATAAATCACTACATAGTATAAAACATAGTCGTCCCGCTGTCTGTCTGTTCTTATATATGCTTAGATCTTTAAAACTACGCAACAGATTTTAATGCGGTTTTCTTTACTAGATAGAGTGATTCAAGACAAAGGTTTATATGTATAATTCATGCATAATATAGTAGAGAAACACTGATAATTGTTGAGGTTTCTAATGCGATGTCGAAATTGCACTGCCATTCTGTCTGCATTGCACCCGAAGCCGGGGCGGGTCGCTAGTATATTATAAATTATAACTCCGTAGCGCAGTTGCCAAGGTATTGGCTTCGGCGTCGGGGGTCGTGGGTTCGATCCCCACACGGGACAACTATTTGTGAGACGCACAAATAGTAGTTTCGCATCTGGCTGCGCGTGAAAATTATGTTTTAACACGTCCTTACAACACAGGATAAAGTTATCCTAAATTAAGGGCAAAGTTTTATCTAAAAAGAAGAGAAAGAAAAAGAAAAGTATTATATACTCAGAGCAATGACGTTACAACTTATTGTACTATTACAAATATTACATTCATATACTCTAACTGTGGTAACTCTTTCTTTAGTTGGTGATCTTAGTAAAACATTTATCATATACCACTGGGAAGAAAATAACTGTTCCTTCGTTTCTTATGTCCTTGCCATAAGCAGTTGTCATTTAGAAAGTTTGTTTCATTAGGTTCAAAGAGTACAATGCGAAATAAACTTAATTTATAACATTAATGGCCAGTTTACGACTCAATGAGACGGATGCAAGAAAGATGTAAGCAATCAGCTTTTGTTTGAAATATCACTGCTGGTGACTCGAATGATGACTTATAGAAAGCAGGATGTTGTAAAAATATTATTACCGAACGAAATATCAAAGGCTATCTCATTGTCATCATAAATTATTTCTTAATGTTTTCCAGTTATCTACAGCTCATTAAATGAGGACCTAGGTTCGTAGTAATATTTGCCTACACAATCAACCTTTCGAAAACAGCACGTTAGAAATTAATTATAATATTAATAGTCCATGAGCTAAAATCAAAAACATTGGTTAAAGCAAAAGTAAATAACCACCAGCCGATTTGGTAAGATCGTTTGTTTGTAGCGTATCGCACTCGACAATATTTCTTATAATAAGTTCTACGAGCGATGTGGTCATCACCGTACCACTTCAGTTTAGCATACTGCACATACTACAATACTACACTTTCCTACTAACATACTACACTTTTGCATACCGCCACATGTACTGTGGCAGTATGCAACAGCGTCGCTGTTACATGAATGGGTATGCTCGTTCGGAGAAGTACCACAGCTGTGCACAGTGAGAAGTATGTGTTACAATTTTTTTTATTTCATCAGCTGAGAGTTGTAACCGTGGCCAGTCATTGTAGTTTTAATAGGATAGTATATCATAAGTACAGTAGCGTGCACATCACTACTAATTATGACGCTTAACATATTATATATTTGGGCTCTATTCATAATGTCTAATACATTCAACTTCAACGTCAACTTATGACAATCAAATTTTAGTGTAAACTTGCGTGTGCGCATCTTAAATAGCAACACTTATTTTATAATTCGCAGCCTTATCTGCCAATTGCGGTCAGACAAACATTAATTACATTCCACTTATTATATTTGCATGTTTTCATTTCACATTATCAATTAGGATGTTTAATTACTGCATATTTTCGGAGCTCAATTATTTCGTCTGCAATAATACTCAATTGGCGTAGTGGATAGTGACCCAGTCTCTTGTGCCAGAGGGTGTGGGTTCGATCCCCACTTCTGGAAAAATACTGTGTGATGAACATAGTGTTTTTCCAATGTTTGAGTGTTTATACATCTATATAATGTATTTATTGGCAAAAGAAAAGTACGTTTAAGTATGTTTATCAGTTACCCATAGTACAAGCTTTTCTTAGGTTTAGACTAGATATAAACATTGTGAATAATATGTCTCGAAATATTTATTTATTTTATTTAATATATTGAAAATGATTAGTTTTATTCAATGGAATATGCCGACCATAATTTTAAAATTTTATGAAATTATAAAATTTTTGTTTTTATATTTTGTGCACCTACCTCAATTTCTCGGTACGACTCTAAGGTTCATTGGTAGAAAATGCTGTCAGCATTAAGCCCGCCTATATACAGAGTTTCATGCATGAACTTTTAAAGTAAAAAAAAAATTGTTCTAATGTCTTATATTATACAGCGTGTCGTTACCATCGCGACAATAAATGAACACACATATAGGGGATAACTTTTTAAAGTTGTATTAAACATTTAAATTCTTTATACATCAATATTTACAGAGTTATAAAATTTTCCAAAACAAAGAATTTTAGAACACCCTTACCTATAAAAGCGTAACGTAAATTTGTAAAGGTCACAAAGCATATGAATGGGTTGAATGAATTTAAAAGAGACAAAACATACTGTTAGAAGGAGAGGTTTGTAATACGCCGCTGTGGCGCGAGTTGTATAGGTGTTACAAATTTTGTTTCCTTTTTACTTAATAAATTTGTTTGAAAAATATATTTTTTTAATTATGGATTTTGTTTAACGTTAATATTTTTTTATGATTTTTGGCAAGTAGCGTTGGACGTGTGTTCATTTATTGTCGCGATGGTAACGACACGCTGTATACTATCTTTGCGTACAGTGTCTCTCATTTTTGTGTCTAAATATATGCATACAAGGTAGGTAGGTATTGCTTATGTCTAAATACAATGTATTCCATCAAAGTAATTCATACATGAGCCTGATGGGTCAACAGGCTTACTGTTATACTCTGATAAGCTATCAACCGCGTGTTTAATAGAATACATAATCGGTTACGACCGCAGTTATTGTACTTGTCTAGGATGTTTATAAATTAAATTAAACAAAGGACAATATTCTCTGCTTCTAAACATTATAACATATTTTAGATATGATATATACACCTAACACACACGATATTTTTTTGGACAAAAATACTATGTCTTATAATTCTGTTTAATCTTTATAATAGCATTTAAAAGGTACTGTATAGATTAGATGTACATTTTTTATGAATATATATATTTCTTGTGATAAATCAAAATATGTCATTTTGACGAGTTCTTTTAAATAAATTAAGGAGATATTTGTATATGAGACTTTTTCACTTTAAACAAAACAAAAACACGGAAACTAATTGGTACTAATCCCGGAATCAAATCGGATTGCATATTGACATTCTTGCCAATCAGTCACCAATGATGACCTTCCGTTGTTCTGCTTATTTCTTATCACATATCGTCATCTTCTTCTTCCATGGATCACATTGATATGTGATAGAAGAGTAATTCTCTTTTATGTCATTGTTAACGCGCTGGATTTCAATTCTCGGAGTATCGACGTTTTTTTGTTTGCTGTAAATAGACGTCAGCAATGTATGTGTCTTATTT